GATCATCTCGCGTCAGTAAGGTAGTGTACTAAGCAGTTAAACAAATTAGTTTTTCCTCACAGGCGAACTACAGTTAGGTATCGCAGCTTTTTGTTGGTTTGCCATTGTAGTCTCAGGTACTAATTGGTAAGACACAAGTAGTATACTCAGACCTGATTTGCTACCGTGCAGCAATGCCCGAGTTTCCTAGAAATGTTGAAACTGAGAGAGACTATCAAAAATATGTAAAAAGAAATCCTTCTGTAAGTACCCAAAACAAGCTAGTTCAACACTGTAATCATTATTGTACGTGACACTCCCAAAACTCCAAGCCCCCAAAGAAATGAATAGAGCCATAAGAATAATATTTTTAATTAATTGTTACTAGAGAGAGCACATGGTACATTTCTTTCCGCTCTACCATTGCAGGGGGGAGTGAGGGGGGTGGGGTGGGTGCGTAAGGGTACTTGAGGGCAACCTGATACAATGGTTTGTTTCCCTAACTCATTCTTGGAAACAGCTTTTGTAAGTTTAAGAGACTACTTGTGCACAAAACATGGGATGTTTATTTAGCAAAACATCAAGAACAGAGAAGAACATGCTTTGTTACAGTGGTAAAAATACACAAAGCTTTCAAGCTGCTTTTTACACCCACTCAGTTCTGAAACCATAAAATTCCAGTTTGCAGCATGTTATGCCTTAGTATTGTATTAAACAGGCTATTGTTGGGGATGGTGGTGACCAAGTTCATCTATTCAGTGGAGTAGTGCACAAGAAAAATAAGTGCATTGAAATGAACCATTTATGAGTAGGAGTAATTCCTGTTACACAGAGTACTTGCTTTAAACAGAACGCTCACGGGCTGTTTAGTAAAAACACAGTACTACATTGGCAAGAGCACAGAATCAGTATCACAGCTATTAGAAAGACCTTTACGGATTTTTTTTTTCTCCAGTTACCTCCCAAACTGAAAGACGAGCATTCTGATGTCACTTACTGTAGGGCTGGGGTTTCTTTGGATTTTTGTTTTAGTAATGCATAAGGCATCACCTTTAACTAATACCTTTTCTCTTTACCTTCTATGTTCAAAATAAGCAAGCATTTAGTGGCACAATGATTTGTTCAATTTTCTACTGATTTGAGCCCCTATTTCTAAAAATGGTTAGCAGAGTAGGGGCTGACAGTTGTACAGGGGTTCAGTTTTTCTCCCAGGTTATGAAAGTTTATGTAGTATGAAACTTTACATTTTTACAGGCTGTCAGGAACCATATTTTCTATGTGTTTTCCTACTGACAGGTTAAGGCCATTGTTAGCAATACTTAAGAGCTGAACCATGAAGCAGTCATCTAAGTGCTATTAATTTATGGGCACATTCACCATATTAAAAAAGAGAGGACTGATTGGGTCGTTCCCAAATGCATTAAACACATAAAACTTGGGTGCGTAATCACTGGAATCTTTGGGCATTACATTTAACAGCAGTAGATGCTTTAAAATGCAGGCTGTTTTCTTTAAAATAGCTTATTCAGTTCCTCCACAACACATGCTGAAGGCTAAACCCAGTTCTTACCCTTGTATCCAAGTTATTTTACAATTTTCCTTTCACAGTGAAACCACTTTTCTCTCTGTATAGTTCTTTCTAAGACGGAAGATAGAAATTTGGGTTAGTTTCCATAACATTTCATTTACATTGCCAGGTTATCTATCTCCAACCCAACACGGTACACCATAAAGCAATGCTTTTTGGCTGAAAAGACAACTCAATTGTTAAAAACCAACTTTTTGTGTGTGTGTGCCATAGATGTCTCTGCCTTAACTGGTAAGCCATAAACCAGCCATGTAATCATACACTGTTTGCAAAACTACTTACTGGTTTGCAGTAGCGTAAAGTAGTACAAAATGCAGGCTGTGAGGTATCACTGCATTGCAAAACACAGTACTTGTCACCAAGAGGTGTGCATAATTATGCATTTAAACTCTCTGGTTTTTTTCTGTACCTTCTCTACATTTACTACAGTAAAAGTTCACACAACTCTTCCCTTTGGAGTCGAAGGCCAGAAGATTAAAGGCAAGAGCCAAGCCAGTTACACCCATCTCTTTTTATTCCCTTCAGCTAATAGAATATGCATCCTGAAAAAAATGGGATTCTTGGATATTTGTAGTTATGAAAGAGTGGATATTTTGCCACAAGATTATTCATCTAGGAAACTTTAATATGGTTTCCAAGTCCAAGTCTGGCCCTAGCAGTTGCACAGTTCTCCCAGTTCTCCCAGTTCCAGCAGGGAGAGATAAGGGTAACTATGACTTTAGGTAGTACACAATGTATGTGAAGGGCGTAGGGCAGGGAGAAAAGCGACACAAGAGGAAGACACATGAAAGTTAATGCATTGGGAAAATTGGAAAATAAATCTCAGGATAGGGAAGAGAAAAAATCCAGACATTCAGACTAGTCTCATTGGTACACAGGTCTGTGCTTGTTCATTCTGTAAAGCCTTTGTGTTGCTCTTGGCGAGAAGGGGGCACTGCTTGCACCCACTGCCAGGTTGAGTCATGATGGGGCTAGGGGAGTGAAGGTATCAAACTTTGTAGAGAGCAAGTTGAGAGCCTGTTGTATTATTATTATTGCCTTTTTTCTCTTTTGCAAGCCCCCTCTTAGCTTCACTTTGTAGACACCTCTATTTAAAAACATCACATGAGGTACCTGGAGGCTGCGGCTGGACGTCCTCTTCAATATGCAGCCACGGGTGGGTTACCATACTTTCTGCTCAGACAACCTAAGCGTTCTTGAGCCATTTTAATAATTACAAGGTGCTTAGGCAAGACCTATAGCTAGCCTTTTTACCATTACTGCGTATGAGATGCTTGTATGGCACCTTTGTTGACACATCAGAGCACCTGCAGCTGCTGTCCCAGAGCAGGATGGCAGGTAGAATGGTCGAGGTTGGAAGGGACCTTGGCGATCACCAAGTTCCAACCAACCCCCTTGCCATGGGCAGGGACACCTCCCACTAGACCAGGTTGCTCAAAGCCCTATCCAGCCCCCCAAGCTACCTCCAGGGATGGTGCTTCCACAACTTCTCTGGGGAACCTGTTCCAGTGCCTTACCACCCTCAAAGTGAAAAATTTCTTCCTAATATTTAATCTAAATCTACCTTCTTCAAGTTTGAAGCCATAAGGGAGCCAATGGACAGTAACACATGCATTGGCAGATGGTTATAGATTCCATCACCTAACACCTCACTGAATTTTTTCAGGAGAGAAAGAGTTTAAGAGCTCATAGTAGTACTGAAACTAAAGAAATTGAGTTTTGCCAAGGAGCACAGCCTAGATACATAAGGCAAGGGAACATGGAAACCGGGAGACTATTTAGAGGCAAAAGCAACAGTGACACTTTTAATAACTTCCATGCTCTTGAGAGTGAAAAATTAGAGCAACTTCATGCAGCGGGTAATGGAGCAGATCAACTCTCTCAGCACCCCTCGCTTTAGACAGATTAGTCCTTCAAGCATAATTTTCAAATCTCTCTCCAGTACTGTTCTGTGGTAGAGTGTGTCCCAAAGAAAGATTTCAGGTTTTCCCAGAAGAACAAAGTAATCACGTTTTCTACAATATGGGATCAGTCTCCATTATCTTTAGGCCACTGGCTTTTTCAAAGTGGCTTTTCCTCTGTTATATTTTGTAACCTCTCCTTCTATAGACTTGATCCCACAATGAAAGTTTTCCATATAAAACATCTTAAGAGTTGAAAATGTACAGCTCATATATATGCAATTTGTACAACCAGATTTTACTGTATATATATATAATTGCATGTTTGCTAGTCAGTGTAGACAGAAGTAGCTAAAAAGCAACTAAAACAACAGTATTTCATTGCAAACAGGAACCAACAGACTTCAAAGTATAGTATTTTACATCAACACAGGTTTTGCAGCTTTTCAAGTTAGGTTTGATTAGTTACTTGGTATACAGTAAAACTCTGATCTGCTTTTATTGATAGTTTCCTCTTTCCAGATTCTAAATATTCATTAGTAATCCCAAAATGAAGAGTCAGATGTATAACATATTCCCAGGTAGTAGCTTAACATACTACAGAGACGTCAGTTTTGTTTTACCAAGGACTAGAATCCACTTCAGTAACAATCCCTGAGGCAATCCACTATTTTATTGTTTTGTCCTCAAATCATTTGTATATAGTTGCTGTTCTGTTCCAGACTGCTTTGTTTCTTTAAAAATAGACACTTAGAGACATCTGTTAACTTCCATTGCTAATTTTATATTTCAGCAATTACGCTTCCCCTTAATACCCTCCTCTCCTCCTCTTTTTCCCCTCCAAAAATTGCAAGTTAACAGATAGAAAATCTGTGTGCTTGATCTTCACAAGATAGGAATTCAGATCTTTCAATGAACATTAATTTTTGAGGATGCAAATGTGTGAACTGAAAAGAATGTAGCAGACAGATAACAGAACAGGATTAATATGCAATGAACAGTCTAAAATTTATCGTACTGAAACTGAAGTTATTCTCTCTTCAACAGAGAAAATCTGTGGTGCTACAGAGGCCAAGGGTGGGGAGAAGCAGTGGGTGCGGAGGGCAGAGAAACACAAGAGAATCATCATCCTTGGTCCATAGAAATGAATTGAGCAGGAACACTCTGTATCTTTACATTCCTAATGGACTAAGGAGGTTTCTCCTGATATAATTCCACCTTTAACATTTCAAAAAAGCCTGTGTATAATCAATGCACTTAAAGCTTTAAGTTTTAGTAACTTCACTTAGACTTTGTTTATAAAACAAACACACACACGCACACTTCCTAGAGTGCAAAATGCTTAAATACTTCAATTATAGAACTCCACGTGTAGTTTTTGGAACAGTAATCCTTTTTCTCTCAGAGTCAACTGCTTCCTTGTCATCGCATCCATTGCCAGCAACGGTTGCATTAAAACTAACCAAAAAAACGCAGCAAATGCAATAGTCGATAACTCCATACTCTTTCTTCAGTTTTCCAGAGGACATTGTTCATTTGTATAAACTCATTGTTGGACTCTGATACATGCACATGTAAGCATCACAAAGTAGTCTTCGGGCGCAACCTTGAATTTTTCTGGAATCCAGTGAGTGCAATTCTTCTACAGACATCTTCAGGTATTCACCAACTTCTGGACATGGGGTAACTTGTGGAATGTTAAAGCCATTCTGACCTCCTTTTAACCATAAGGAAAGAAAAACAGATTAGGATAGCATCTACATATGTTTACTCTCTATAATGTACCTTAATTATGACAGCATCACCAGTTCTTGAAGATGCCTTCTAAAAAAACCTAAATATGCCATTCTGGACTACTGCAGGGTAAACTTGTATGAAAAGCGTATTGTACAAGAAAAATCGTAATTGCTGTCAGAGTATCTTGTAGTGTTCACTAACAAGCAAACACCCACAGAAACCGCCCACCAGAACGAGAACTTTGGGTTTTCATTAACACTAAAAATTCTGTATGACTTTGGGAGAATGACCTAAATACATACTCCACCTCAAACACTACTGAATTTGTTAGTAACATGACAACTGGTAACAGCTGATGAATTTATAAACCATGAGTTTCTGTACCTGACTTGCAAGACTAAGGCAATGTTTGCTACTGCCATTTTCTGTGTAAAAATGAGCAAATTCAAACAAGTATGGACACCCACGACATCGTTCCCAGCAGACATTTTTAGGTTTAGCACTAACTGAAGAAAAATATTTGTGATACAGAGGGACTCAATAATTCTTCATGCAAAGAACTGTTACTATGAGCCTGACACTTGCATCTATTACTGTTTTTCTCAGGCACCAGAATGAAATAGTGTTTAAATAAGGAGTCTCTGTTCAATGCAGCAATATCTAAGAGAACACTTGTTTTACTGACATTTGTGTTATTACAGGGTAACAGTTTTCCACTGATAACTCTAAAGAGGTTCAAAGGAACAGCATAGATGTTGTAATGTGTGACTATTTTTTAGTCTAAAGACACCTACACTAAGTCAGTTAAGCAAAAGCAATAAAAATATTTTCATGCTATCTGATAATTGTATATATCCACTCAAATATAGACTGAAAAAACATATTCCTGCCATTGATTATTTAAAATGAATTCTCTCTGCCAAACTTGCAAAGTATAGAAAAACATGTAAGGAGTCCTGCTAGAAAACTTCTGCAGTTACTTCTGGACCATCTACTTATTAAGGTATCCAATTGAGGTGAAATTCAGCAGCTACTACAAAATCAATGCACTGAGGTAAGGCTGGGTCAAGATTAGTGTTCCAGCATCAGGTACATCAAGTTAAATATCCCCTAAACCTTAAGAAATAGGCACTGAAATTTAAAGTAGTAATACACATAAAAAAATTACGAGAACATTAGTAAGAATAAATAAGAGATCTACTACCATCCCGATCTGCCATGCTGTCAAAGAAAAGCCAGGCGGAGTCATCCCTCCCATATTTAACAAAAGCTACATAGTGGCTTGTTTCTATGCAGAGAACAGCAAACAACTCCATCTTCTGGTATGGGATGCAGCCATGTCGCCAATCCCAGTCTGGCAGATCTTTAGGTAGTGACAATGGATTGAATTTATGACTCTGTCTCTTGGGATGAAGATGAACCTACAGTTGAAGATAAAAAACACCCCATAAGATTATTCGTTTCAGTGGCAGACAAAGCTAAAAAGAACGTTACTGCTGAACTGAAGATCGATGGCATTAGAGAAGGAACTGCAGTAACAGTAGCAGACGAAATATTTCTTCTATTTTTCCCCACCACTGTAGTTCAATATTGCTCAGAAAATTCCAATCTAAGGTTAGAAGGAAGGTCAGATTTATTACAACAATCTTGTACTGTGCTCAGACCTGAAAACAAGCCATGACTATGACAGTTTCATGCAAGTTACCAAACAGCTCTTAAAAGTAAACGGTTGTATGTCATTAATTTATCAAGTCAAACAAGGTAGCATATATGTAAAATTAGGATTTAAAGCAGGTGACAGGAAACAGATTCCAAGCTGCCCACGATTACTACTTCACTATATTCAGTCCCAGCTTTGGCATTTGCCATGTTTTCAGTAAGAATCTGCTGACAAATACATTGCAGGGTCAAGTGGAATTCCCAGTTTGTCACCAAAGGCTACACTTGACTTGGTCAAGTTACGCTAGTGCTAGTGAGAAAGTCTCACTACACTCTTTAGATTATTACAGCATATACCATTTGGGTTTAACCCACGTATAATAACAAAGACAACAACTTACTTGCGTATTGCACGTTTTGCAGAACTGCTTGATTTTCCCAGCAGAAATATCAGTATCTTCATAACATTCTCTGCATTCATACATAGCGAGCCCTCCACATATGCGGCACTGCCTGGGAGCTGCATTTTCGAAGAAGATATTAGTCTCCAATTTGGGGAGGCTTTTTTTGGTTTTTTTTAATACAAGGGGTATGGAAAGGAGGGAGGATTACTACTTTAAATAGAGAAAAACACTACATTAAAAAAGCTAAAACCAGATTGCCAATCAAAGCAGAAGTGTACCACCGTATTTAACTTCTTCCCTTTGACATAATATGAAATAGGAGAAAAAGGTTTAGAGTAGTAAGTTGCAAAACAGAACATGATAAAAATAAAGTTTTATCAACTGCATAAACAAGTAAAAACAGGCTTTTACATTTAGTTTGTTCTCTCTATTGGTAGTGGTACAGTTAGCTTAGCCCCTATGCCTGTCAGCACCAGAAGAAAAAAAAAAAAAAGTATAAGTTGATGGCCATGACAGTTTCAGAGATTATTATCCTAATGAATTTTAGCAGTTTTATTAATTCTTATCTCAAATTTAAAACCGCGTGTCTTTTCTTAGGTGATGCAATTAAAAAGTCAGTGGATGACAAGTACCAGAAATTTAGGTCACAAAATAAGTGACAGATTTAGAGTTGAAAAATGCACCATGACTACATGCTGCGGGTTTACATACTCAAGTTCTCTTCTAGTTTGATAAACTAACGACAAAAAGCTTAGAAACAAGCAGCACAAACTGATAAAGGCTAATGAAACTTAATCATCATTGTCCTGTTAACCAATCTCAGTGCTACACTTCACTTTTAACATTTCCTGCCTGCCATATTAATGAATTGTTTTGCTGCTAATAACTCAGTTTTAACACCACCGTCTTAAAATAAGAAGTTTAGTTTTACAGATACGCAAGAATTAAATGAACATAAGCAAGTTACAGTCTTACATTCTTCTGAATTATAGCTTTTAATTGACATGAAAAAAAAGAGCATTCTAGCCAGTAAACTTTCCTTTCTCCTCAGCCTGAGCATCTCACACTACCTTGTGAAATATTTAATAAAAACAAAAAAAACAAAAAGCCAGAACTACCAGGAGTACTTTCACTGTTAGTTACTCTCAACAACTCTCTTTTATTACAAAACACAATGTTACATACTTACTATCTTCAAGTAAGTCTGTTATATTTAATTCCAAGGATGGAAAAATTTTGTTGAACATTTTGAAGTCTTTTCCAAACCGAGGCATCTGGATAATCAGGCAAGAGGGTGCCTAGGTAAAATGCCAGAATGTAATGAGTTTGAGATAGATCATTATCTAAGTTTAGAGACATACTTCTAATATGATAAACATACATACACATTATTTAAACTTGCAGCCCACTGACTTCAAAATTAACAAGACAGTAAGTAAACCAAAATAGTCTTTGAGAGAAAGTATAGCTAAAAAACCCAGGAAAGTGGCATCTAAATCACTGTCAAATGTTTTAAGTCTCAGTCATGCACAAGTATGGTACTACAGACACTGAACTGCACTTCCCCATTGGGAAAGGGGAGGGGGGGGAAGGTGGGAAGAAAAAAATCTTCCCTTTGTAAAGCTTTTTACAAACAGAGAGATCTCAAAAAGTTAGTCCTTAAGATGACTTACTGGCAGTAGCTAAGAAGCTTTCTTTTAGCAATTCAGTCTGTTCAGCCAAAAGATACATGTCATTAAGTCAACTATAAAATATTTTTGTAATGTAGACAACCTGTACCACTGACCCAGTACTCCCATTTCCAACACGTCTGCATTTTTTTTTTTTCACATCAAATCCTACACTTTTAAAAAGCAACAGCTGCCACCAACCTCTGCAAACTTCAAGTTGCTGTTGATGAATGACCACTCCAGTAACTGCTGAATTGTCGGGACTCCAACTTTCTCATTTTTGTCCATAAAAATCTGATAGAAGTAACAGTCTTGTACTTTCTGACCTGCTGATCTAAAAACAGATTAAAAAAAAACAGATTCTGAAGCTCTACTGCAACGATGACTGGATTTTACTTCGAAAATACCATCTACCAGAGCAAAGATGCAAAGAACATCCTCTTTGCATCAAAATATATTGTGCTTGAAAAGAAAAGAAAAGCCAGCAACAACAAAGTGCCTTAGATGCTACACAATCAACTATTTAGCATGGTCTGATTTTTAGAAAAACTTATTTAAGAAACAAAAGCAGTATAGTTTTCAGAGTATGTTTTAGAAACATATGCCTATGCATTACTGAACTACCAACCGAGAACTACTTCCTAAGCACATGCATCAAAAACTCCAACACACTCAAGCAGCTTTATTAAGAGTTTCAGTAATAAAACATCGAAAGGAACAATGGTAATTCTCTTCAGTATTATATTCCCAATAAGGAGTTAAAAAAAAATGATTGGGTTTAACAAAACATTTTCTTTTAAGCAGGGAGATATTTGCACTGCTTTCTACGGTGGAAGCGTTGCTAGACTTGCTATATAGTTAACAGCGAACTCTCAAAAAGGGTAATCCAGATTTAAGGGCTGTCCAGCTCTAATTGTTAGGAAGCCTTCCACACCTAGGCAAACATTAAGATGGCAGGCTACTACATTAACTGCCAACACTAGCCATAGTAAGTGGTCTGGAGAAATGCCTTCATCCTCACCAAAAGTGGGGGGGAAGCACAACCCCCACCACCAAACCACAGAAGGCAAAAAACCCCACTAAACAAAGAAACACAGACCACAAATCAATACCCACCCACCCTCACCCCCGCAAAAAAACCCCAACAACAACAACAAAAAAACAACAAAAAAACCCCACAAAAAAGAACAACCACAAAACCACAACACAATTGTATATGGACAAGGAGAGGGACAAAGGATTAAGCTACCCATTTAAGTAAGCTTTGAGGTCACATATTTCAAAACAAAGTCAAAATTAAGTACTGATGTTTTCAGGTAGTATTTCTGTTACATGAACATAAATCTGACATCTTTGAGAAAAGAGCTTCAGATGAGTAATTCGACCTATTCCAGAAGGACACAAGAAAGGATACAGAAGAGTGTGCTCACATTGAAGAAGTGGACTTTGCTATCACGGAGGAAAAGCGTACGGGAGTAACTAGCCTCCAACAGCAAACGAAAAAAGTTAGGTAGGAGCTGTTTCATCCTAGCGTCAAAGTTCCTGGGATGGAACTCCTGGGAACTTGCATGAAATTAGGTATAAATGATAACATCCTCCCATCCCATCCAGCCAGCCATTTAAGACAACACTGCTTTTTGAGTTCTCAGGTGTTGACAGGATTCTATGAGTATGATGTGCAAAGTTACTATTATTGATTTTAAGCCTTCTTTCTAAGAGAGACTTCTGAATTACTCTCAAAAAGTTAAGTTACGTACACAAAACACACCGACTTTGGTCCTAAAAGCTGAATGGTGGAAGCAAGTTCTGTCCTCCTCTGTGTGGCACAGACATGACATGTCTGTCTTCAACCTTGAAGGCCAAACTTTACAAAAGAGGGATTAAAAAATATGGAAGACAGCGCAGAAATGTACAAGTGGAACGAGAGGCATCTTCTGCTTTTACTTTACTCCTTTCGGCTATGATTTCTGTCACAGCAGCACACCTGTTAACTACCAACTACATTCTCACTAAGATCTCAATAAGATCTATTATTCTAATTACAATAATAAAAACTAATATTATAATTATAGTATTGTACCCCATCTGTTTCACCAGAATAACACATCGGCCACAGGTTTCTCAGCACGTTGCACTTCATAGAACTGAGGCGAGGCAGTAACAACTGTGAGGCTCTTAAGATGGCAAGCTATTCTCTCACTACGTTATTGAAGTCACTAGTTGTCGTGTTTTGGTTTTTTAACCTAACAGTAGATTACAAACACAGGCCTTTGTCTAGGCAGAAGCAGGAACACAGTTTTCAAATTAATGATATGTCTTGATCTCTCATCCCTGCAAACTTTTCCTAAATTTCCATACACTATATGCAAACGGCATGTGAGCTACAGCACACTACACACAGATGCTCTAACTATGGTGGTGTAGCTCCTGTATCTCCGCATAGCACAACAGACATCAGGCACTTAACACACCTCACACACCACTGAACTAAAGCAGCATATAAACTAATACAATTTCTGCGATGAAGAAAGGATGGAAGAACTATAGGGAATGCCTTGCAGCACTGCTGCTGCCACAGAATGCAGCAAGGAACCTGAGACTATCAGGCGCCACCTAGCAGAATGACAGCAGTGGGCAACAATCCCTACCTCCGTTAAGCTCAGTTATGACAGTTGAATCCTTGTAGTGCTACAGTCAAGAATAAAGGTATACATAAATGACAGTATCTGTTCTTTTGATAAAGTAAGAAAAGCCAGGCTTGATCAAGGCAAACCACTGAAATATTTTCATTAGCCTTAAAGAAGAAATGCAAATCAGTTTCCATGGCTTAAACACCAATTCAGCAATCTCTGCAGCTTGTCCCAGAAATAAGCAGCTACAAGCTGTAGGCCCCATGAGAAGTGCTGTAGGTCCTCCTACCACAGCCCTTCTCCGGCGCAACTAACAGGAAGACAATAAGGCTCTCAAGTACGCTAGGACAGGGGATCTTTGTCCAGTTCTCAGGAAACTATGTTCATGAGCCTTTGCAACAAGACACCAGTGGGGCAAAACCCACCTACCAAAAAAGGTAGGAAATAGTGTCAAATTTGTCACTATATATTGAATCTTATTAGAAATATGAATCACGAGTAAAAGGTGCTCTAAGAGCTATCTCTATTTGAAAGGCAGCAGATAGTCTCTCCTCATCAGCCTCTACAAATAGAGTTCAAAAAAGAAAAAAGATTCACCTTATTTTCAACAGTGGCTCAACTCTTAGAATATGGTGAAATAAAATATTCAAAAATTCTTCTGGATCTAGGGGAGGGAGGAAAAAAAATCTTGTTAGTATGCAAAACCAGATACATTATTCAAGACCGATTTTAAATGAAAGTTTTCAAAATTCAATAGGAAAAAAGTAAAGGTTCATTTTTACAGCTTTATTAACACAATAAGATTATGAAAAATTATGAACATTTTCATGACACAAACCTCTATTTACTCTGTTGGTGTCAAACGGCCCTAATAAAAGAAACCAGCTCAACAGGGTAATAAAGCTTTCCAGTAAGGATCAAAAAGATGCTCTGTATTTCAGAGGAATCATTTCGCGCCACACACTTTTCCAGGAGAAATAAAAGCTTTCAAAAGAAAACAGTGAAACTGCCGAGAAGCGGTGAGGTGTAGTGACAGTAACACTTACATAAAAACCACACAATAGAACAAAGTTCTCTAAACTAGAGACCGAGTTGTCTAATCAAGAATGCAGCCAACGCTAGATTCCCAGAGGGCTATTCTCCCCCAACACCCGGAGTTTTCTGGTATATTTCTCTTCCTGCCACTAACTGCAATAAATATTGGTTTTCAGCATTTAGCATTTACAAAGAAGGTAGTGTTCTCCCAAACAAAAACAAAACAGCTACATAATACAATGCTAATTAACCATTATATGCAGCAAAAGATCAAAAGGTTGGGAATTTACTTTTTTTTAACATGATTTACACATTTTATTTCTTAAAATACTACATAACCATTGTGACAATGAGACTTTGTAGTAGAAGGATTATTCCTCAGGAACCAAAGTGACTTTTTGAAAGAGGACAAAGACCCCAGCCTTATCACAGTCTTAACTTCTGAGGAAGAGCCTTCCATCTCCCCTAACTGCTAGAAGAGAATTACACGGGCACAGGAAGGCACGAAAAGAAATCCAGTCAGTGAAAGACTGTTAAGAGCAGAAACTGTTCAGCTGGGTTCCTTACAAACCCGAGGAAGCAGAAAAGACCTTTGTACCACCCAATGGTCACTCAAATCTCTGGCAAAGATATTACTGCTGCAGAGAAATATTTGTATGCGTTCTTCTGGTACAATTGTATAGCAAGGTATTTCAGTTCCTTCATACTATGATTCTTAGAAATCTCAAAGAAAGGAAAACCTCCCCAGTTACCTTTTTCCTCTGAAGTGAATCCTGATGCAGCCTCAACTTTTTCAAGTATTTTCCTCAGTTTCATTATTTTTGTAGCACATACATATCCGTATCTAAGATAAATGGGTTTAATAAGCTATTAGCTAGTTTGTGATCAAGTCAGAGAAGCAGAAAAAAACCCCACTCTTAAATGCTGAAATACAGACTCACAGATCCTTCTTTAACTGTATACAGTATTTCTTCAAAACTACATACTGACTCCTCATATTCAATTTGACTTCCAGTTTTTTTAATCCAGTATAAATTTAGTGCAGTGCTCAGTGTTCTCGTATAACCTTTAAGAGCTCTTTTTGAAACATTAACTTACCAGGATAACTGTTTTCTGATTTGTCAGTCAACTACTTTTGATTTGTTTTCACTCTAATTTGCACCACTTAATACATCGCTTTCAGAATGTCACATAACAACAGCACTGTGGGAGTTGTTATTAAAAAAATATTTCAGTAAAGGATACAGAACTGTATTGCTGACCTAAGATGCTGAAGTTTTGAGCATTCAATCTTTTCCTCTAAAACCGTACAAAAAGTGCAAAGAAAGTTTTAAGCATGGTGGAAAGGTAGGAGAATTAAGACTTTTTGTCTTCTCAGCCATTTAAAATTTCTGCTACTTGGTGTGTATCCTAGTACCTATACCACAGGACTCTGGAACACACCGGGCAAAGTACACACATCCATACAACAACAAGGGTTGAGAAGCCACCATTTCATTCCGGGAATCAAAAGTAAAACTTTGTGATAAATTGTTCAGTGACAGCCCACAGAATTCCTGAACCACAACTTTATTATTTGCATGTTTAAAAAAAAAAAAAGGCTAAAGACAAATAACTTTTCATGCAGATTTTTGCCGTATTTCCTTTGTTCATTGTGCCTAAGAAATTACAAAGCTTGTGTTAAGTTCTTTATTAAAAAGCCTTTTGGCCACTTGCGGACCACATGTAAAAATTAATGAAACTTTTTAAGCCCCGTCAAATTTATCAAATTGTGAAACTCCACATAAGATAACCCAAATACTTTTCTTGTCAAGAACAGCATCATTAAAACATGTAAATACAAATGCTGTGAACAAATATAACTTTTATTTATCAAAGCTTTTGTATTCATACCTATACAAATTTTACAATAGCTTTATGCTGATCGGATTTCCAAATAAAGAGTAGTGAAAATATTTTATTGCCAAACAATGAATAACTACTTCCAGTCAGCACTGATTAAATTTACCATGAAGAACAAGTAAAAATACTCAAAAAAACTGGACAGACTGGCAGCAGGGGCTAGCCAAACTTCTCAGATTTGCAATAGGAATGCATACACAGCAGGATCTAGTATAAAATTTAAATATCTAATATAAAATTTGTATTAGACCAGAGACCAGTTCATGTCTGTACTTACATTCTCAGAGGATTCACAATCTCTGTCCGCAACAGCTCTTGAGTCTCACTATAATACTCTACGTCATTCTTTTCTTTAGGCCTGAGTAACACAGTGTCCAAAACAGAGCTAAAAGAAAACAGGCTACAAAGAAAAAAAGAAGAGGAAGGTTGTTCTGACTCTGGAAGATACAACCATTCAGATGCCTAAGCAACGTAAGACAAGCCAAGCAAAGCCACGGGAAGAATTAAAGAACTAAACAAACTCAAAAAGAGAGAATTATGGACAGAGCACAACACAGCTGTACTAAATAGTAAAAGTCCACTCTAACCCAGTATTCTTTCTGCAGCAGAGTACAAAACCAGTTGCCAAGGCAGGATTCTGCAAATAAGTTGTAAGAGGTATTTCCCTCCCTCCACCCCCTGGCCTGTGTACTCTTTCATCCTTCAACAATTTACAGTCAAAAAGAGTAGAGATACAGAAGGGGCAGTACAATTTGGACAGGATTAGCACTTCATGTTATGCAGCTGCAGAACTTGTTCAAATTGAAAGAGCATAGTAATGTGTCAAAGACCGTAGTGCACGACTTTGTAAGCTGCACAGTAATACAGACAGACAGTCATTACAACAAAGATCACGTGTTCTGCATTTCTAGCGTGGGATGCCACTATACAAATTATGAACTTACCAGAATAAGGTGGAGTCTAAGTAACAGGAGTTGTAATGACCCTGGATACCTTTCTTCTTTCCAATCATTGTCTCTAAACCTTCTTTTTCCATTTTTGGAGGAGTGTTTTCTTCTACCACTTCACTTAAGTAACCTCCAAAGGCTGAAATTTTTTTTTTCAAAAGACACTTTAAAGCCTCAAGTTTTATCCCCCTTGAGATTTTCCTATTAATGTTTTATAGCTAAGTTGCTGCCTTAGCGTAAGCATTCTTTCTCTGGACTAGAATAGCATTTTATTATAGCTAAGACTCACTGTCTTCCAGAGAATGAACAAGGCCTTACGTTCTACTGACAACGCACATTAGAGTGCTTCAGAAAGCCTGCAGCACTGAATTCATTTCATCCAGTAGGAATGAAGTTCTCCTCTCATTACAAATGCCCCGTTCACACTACCTTACAAGTATCAGACACTTTTTTTCTTTGCTGTTGTCCCAGGCAATACAACATGACCCAAGAAATCCAAAATACTTAAAGTCAGTGGTGAAAAACTCAATTTTTTTTCTAACTTTCACCATAAAAATATGTTAATACTTAGAAAAAAAATTAACATTATAGAAAAATAACTGTCTTTATTTCTGATAAAGTAATCACATATTGCTGGAGTTGCAGATACCATTTTCAGCAAGATTGCTTTAAAACTTCTAAAGTAAAAACCATACAGCGTAACAAAAAATCCCTTGATTTTATGAAATTTCTTTAAATATATGAATACTTTGTTGCTTTAAAGCATAAAAAAGTAGTCCATAGTAGCATTATGTTCTGTACAGACTGATCTGCTATTCTTTAATCTCATTTAAGTAATACCTGTACAGATTTTCAAGTGTTCAATACAAAGAACATATTGCAGGAACAAATGAAACCAAAACCCAAGTCAGTTCCCAGCTGATAAATAAGTAATGAGCAGAAGCTCAGTACCTAGAGAGTTGCAGCGTTCAATCTGGTTGGAAACGGGCTGTAGTGAGGCAAACCTGGAATCTGGCCTGCAGCTTTTGAGTTTAACAAAAAGAGCTTTCTTTGGAGCACAAGTGAAGTATCGAGTCCCTTTAAATGTTCCGTCCGTACAACCTGCACATTCATCTTCCTGAAAATTTAAGTGAGAATTCACTGTTTTTCTTATTTCTAGAATTCTGCAGTAAAACATTTGATAAAATATCTACCCATAAGTCACCCTTGAGGTACTCTGAAGCTTGATATACAATGTTCCTGCATTTTAGTATACAAAGCTGCGGTGTTAATTGGATTTATTGAGGAAATTAAGAGTCACACTGTTTTTCTTCATGCTTAAATATCCAAAATAACACAAAAATTCCATCAGAAGCAGCTTGGGTGAGGTGGGAGAAGAGAGCAAGAATTAAACCTAGTCAACATTAGGAACTTAACTAAGGTAGCCAGTCACTCCAGATTCCTTCTGTAGTTAGAAAGAGCACACACACACACACACACACCGAGCACCCTTTAAAACCCAATTAAAATCACTACGCATTGGGTAGTATGAATACTTCCAGTGTGACTGTGGCCTGCACGAGAAAAACACCTGCTTCAGAACACAAAAAATGTACATCAAGGAAAGACAACACAAACTAGGTATGAAAAATAACAAGTTATCATTATTTGTCTTTGGTAACGTGATTTAAGGTATGTTGGCTGTGCACTAACAATGGCTAGGGTTTAACGCAGAAATGCACGACAGGCAAGTCGAGACCCCCGTTTAACACAAGATGCAGTCACAGAACACCTGTGGCAAACTATAGCTTGAGCTTCACCCAAAACCCCACAGGCATCACGATTTTTTGTAACAGTTGAAATTCCAGTCACATTCTCACCTACTTTGCTAAAGATGTTTGTTGTTTTACATAATTGTACACTGCTTTGTCTGAAATTTTACTGAACATTATCTCAAAATAAAGAACCCCATCTCCCTAATTGCTGACACGTTAATTTAACTGATAGCCAATCACAACCTTGGCAGCAGCTGCCACAGAGTAAACAGCAGTACATAACAGCAATTTATGGTTGCAACAGCGTTGAATTTACAAAGGCCCCGTAGCAACACATAAAGCACATGGCCGTCAAATCAACAATATCACTACCACCCGTTATCAAAAACAGTGTTAAGACTCTGACAGTCATAACTCTGAGGCTGCCTGTTTGCTGGTATGCAAAAAAACAAGCAAAAAAATTATATTCAATAAAGTCTCTTACAGCCTGGACATTTTATGTAAATCTGCATCTCGAAGAGCCTTTAAATAGTGTTGGCTTTTTTCAATTAAAATCTCTATAATGTAAGCAAAGGGCACTCCTGTAAAGTAAGTAAGTGACCAGTCCTACAATTACCCATTGAGACACAGACATCTCAGAGCCTATTGACTGAGTAAGGTCTAGGGCAGCCACAGACGTGGGAGCTCATCTAAGAATTTAGCTATGTTCTATGGAGATCACATGGCAACCTGGTTGGACTAACTCCTCCAGACTGACTGCTTTTGCCAAGTATACAGGCACCAACTCTCAGAAACAAAACTAGTAACGTGTAATTAGTACCGATATGAACTTATAGAAATTAATATATTTAAATATATTATATATTATTATATATTATATTACTGTATAAAGTAAATTTTTTAATACAATTTATATTTACCAGTTCCAGTCCAGCTAATACTTCATTTACTCCAGGGGGCTGGCCAATCCAGCGAATTACTCCATAAAAAGGAGGATTTTCTTTAACTTCAGCCAAGGAACCTGCTTCAAGACCATGCGAGTTCCCGACTGGGCCTGCAGTTGATGGACTCTCCTGGCTAGCTGTAGTATTTACATCACCGATGACTGACTGAACAGATAAAGAGAGAGGACTATGTCCCATAGTACCATTAGTACTTGATGCTTTTGTCAAGCTAAAAGGGAGGGAGTGAAATCTGTTTTCTGTAGACACAGAGTTTGTTAAAGGTGGCTGCAGTGGTGGTGAAGAATGCCCAAATCCAGGAGATGAATCAGTAAGTGATTTTGCAGGGTCTTCGGCAACTGTTAAAATCAAAACCAAGACGTCAGTAAACATTGGGTTCCCCCCCCCCCCGCCCCCCCATCTTACAAAAGGAAAGACACAGCTATGAAACCAATGAAGTATATCTGCACCCACATCTGATTTAACGGGTGTCCTGTATCAGAAGCACTAACAGCTGGGGACATGTAGGAAGATGTTTGTCACTTTGCAACACTGGAGACACTGAACTGGCTGAGGAGACACTGCTGTAGTCCTGCCACCTTTACCACAAGCAACGGAAATGAACAGCCCAGAGAAAGATCTTAGCCAGGAACTGCAGGAATGTTTAGACTGAAAACTTTTTTATCCCGCCGCTCCCCCCCGCCTTGGAATTTTTCTTTGAATACAAGTGAACAGCCCCAAGGATTATGACTGTAATGGGCCAAACTAGGAAGAACTCCTTGGTCAGTGTGACTGAGGAAAGCATTTGGTTCACAGCTTGCACAGAGATGAGTAATTGCTTGCAGACATGATTTGCAAATGGAAAAGTGTTTATTCCCCTGGCTCTATCACAATATACTTTGGTTCTAACACAAGGAATCTATCAGTGTCTATAAAGAATAAAGGATTTAAATAAGTCATGACTAATGCAGTGCTTGATAAATGAGATCACAACTAGATGTAATAGCACAAGCGTTCTGTATCTTCTCTCATCTCTCTACATAGTCTCTAATACAAAATTGGTATTCACAGAGCAAAAGCCTCTTCATCACCTCTTATCCCAATGCTGTTTTATTAACTGAAGTTAATGTCCAAAAATTAAAAAAAATACATAATTTAATCCTTTACTTCCATAGTCCTTTATAGATAGGGTATTTACTTTTTCTTATTTTAAGTATTGCAATAAACTACTTCTTAGACAGAGTTCCAAGCTGTTGGAACAACATCTGTTAGGTAAACAACAACAATTTTAAGTTACCATTATTAGTTTAGCATTTATCCCTTCAGTCACTAAGCCAGCCAGCCACACTTTAGAAAAGTTGACCAGAAAAAAAAAAAAAAAAAAAATAGAACTGGAAGCAAATCAAGATATACTGATCCTTTGGGTACATGGGGTATGTGCACCCATACTTGCAGGAATTCAGAGAGAGATTTAACAGAAATAACTTTTAAAAACACTGAAAAGACATGTATGCTTAGTGAGATTATTTCCCCCTCCGACTTCCAAGACTCCTTAGCTGGCATGGCAGAATATTACAGTTCCTTTAGATCTGTAACACTAGCTACAAAGAGACGGGCAAAATAAAATTACTCTACTCCTTGGCTACAAGGAATATCTTCGTATCTTCCTTCCAAGACTCAGCTTTTATTTTGCCTGCAAGACACACGCATTCCCACAGAGCTGCGTGTACGTTGCCAAGAATGTAATCTCCTACATGCAGAATAAAACAACAGGTCTGTCAATTAAGACAGAGTATATTTTCATGGGGGTTCCAAGATGCTTTTTATGATATAGTACGTCTTCCGCTAAGACAACATATTCCAACTGTTTTCAATTTAAACTCACTTGTTTTATTTGAAGAACAACAATACACTCTAGTTTTGTTTTGTTTTGTTTTAAATAAAGTGTATGCCTACATGAAAGACTATCATCTCTCTTTACCTTCATCAATATACCATGGGGGTTTTGTTTTTGTTTGAGGCTGAGAGTCAACTGATGAGCCATTTAATGTGTAGAAGACTTCAGATCTGTTTCTATTTCCAGGTTCAGAGGTAGATCCTGGAAAACAACATGTTTTACTGAAGAGATTAATCTCTATTTGCAAAAGGTTAGCTACACTCTTATTTCCTGGTATAAATTTGCTACTATACTTTCAAAAAGACCTAACTGCCTTTCCACAAAGCAGCTATCTCTCCCAACAAAGCTGACACAGTTCTAAGCTTGCAACAAGGCAGTAGTTAATCCTAAACCAACTTAATCCTCCAAGCTGAAATTTCAAGTCACAAACCTGAAAAGGCAGAAGAAAATACCCTCAAGTGCAAATTTTTCATGACTAAAAATTAGGGATATAAGAAAGTATTTGAGATGCAGTGTACAGCAGGTATTTTTTTGTTTTTAAAGCAAGAAAGCATTCAGAGTAGGCAAATAAATTACCAACCCAATTCCACATAGCTGTAACTCGTGCCAACATACAACCGCAGTTACTTCAGTGAAGACCATCTCTGCCAGCATCCAATGCCAGGTAGAGTGAAAGCTTACAGAATACACTGTCATTAGCATTCTACAATCCAAAATAGCCACTAGTAAACTCAAAAGACACTGAATTTTGATTTCTGCCTTTAAAAAAAAAAAATTATCTCCCTTCCAGGTACTTTTTCCCTGGGAAGATTTTCAGAGGTGGTCAAAACCAGAGTCAAGAGAAGTTTGGGGAATTCAATTTTGGTTTTGAATCACAGCAAAATTAACATATTCACTATTAAGTAGATCTGTTCCTGGGCTAAAAATTTCATTGTTTCTAGTCCTGCAGAAGGAAGACAACAGCAAACTATATTTATTAACAAATATAAAAAACCCAAACACCCACCACAATTTCAGAAAAACAGAATGCAGCCCTGAACTGGTTATACTAGCTAACTAGGTAATACGCTCTTGAACTTTTGCTAAATGACAATCTGTTTTTCATGAAAGTGAAAGTATTTTGAGCAGTCTTAACTTAAACTGTTTACCATCTTTATTATGATTAATTAAATTCATACTAATTCTGCAGAGAAATTTAACTTGATTATGTAACTGAAATACCAAATCAAGTGATCGAAAATGCAAGGCAACGCTTCTTCCCAAGCAACAGAAATTTGTAATCTTACACAGGTAAAGAAAACCACTTCCCATACATACCTGTAGCCTTTGGCTTACTATGATTGAACAAGCTTTTGTCACCACCACCTCTTGAGGTATAGGCAAGCTTGGGAGGTCTCCTGTCCTGTGACACAGTCTCTAAGACGTGGTATATGAAGAGAACGTTAGCTTCCCTTTTCTACGCTTTTACTATGTCACAGAGAAGTTCAACTTGAAACGTAACTGAACCAAGGTCTGGCATCCTAAGTTTTAAAACTAAGTGAGGTAAAACCTTTTTTTGGCACGTGACCAGCATTTTATGAGCAATTACTTTATTCTGAAGTCTGCCGTTATTTCTTGAACACATCAAATAGATTGACTTCACGTCCTTCAACATATGTGTGTGCTTCCATCATGGAAAACAGATGCATGAAATTCTAAACTTTGTTTTCTACCAACACATCTACAACAAATGCTCTTTTCCCAAAAATGGAGAAGTCCCCATTAATTCCCCAGAGAAGGGAGAATAATTCATGCAAAAACATGTATCTCAACTAAACCAACAAGTAGGAGGCGAACATAAGAAAAGTTAGCCAAATTGAAGACAGAGGGCAACGGCTGTACAAGACTGCACGCTCGTTAGTACCTGTCTTCAGACAGAGCACAAACAAAGTCTTACATAAAACTTTTTTTCTTTCTTCAGAAAAGGAACTGGGACTGTAGTGGTTACAAGTTAACACTATTCAGTGAATTACTGCGGACAGTGAATTCTTCCACAGTCTTGCTATGAATTTTCAAGTATTTACTCACAGAATGCCGGAATAATACCATCAATACATTTCAAGCACAGAAAGAAAAGCTTTCTGATCCAACGTATTTAAACTCCTGGAGTAAACTGAACAATATTCAATGAAAAGATTCCCACTACAGACACTCCAATATTCATTAATACTATACAACTGTATAGTATCGTAAATACTACACAATTTGACAGGAATTTTATTCAGTATTAAACCTTTTCTACTCGTGAGACTGTAACCAAAAGGAGGAGGAAACTGAAGAGAAGTATAACACAGAAGGTTAAACTAATTCAAGTGAATTTCAGGTATTAATTCCACAGTATTGTTTTAATCATATAACAGTGCCTAGGTTGAGATGTTACTAAAGTCTGTCTTCTGGTTAAGAAAGCAGTGCATACCTGGAATAACATCATTGATATGCAAAAGAAGTGTACTTTCAACACTTGCAAAACTGCACAGCTGTATTCCATTATATCTTCCATCCCAGTTTCCAATAGGATTATCCTAAAAATGGAAAAATATGTTACATGTATCCCAGGAGAAGATTTACATCATACAGAATACAAACATATGTTTTTCCAAACGTAAAAAGTAGGAAAATTAAAGGTTTGACAACATCTACTTTTTCCTGTAACAAACTTTGCATTTAGAACAGTCAAACATTACAGTCTTTAACGACAAACGCAAACTTAAACTGTTCGCTTGAGAAATAATTCCTCTTGTAACAAGCATTCCTCTACTAAAATCCATTATTTATAAACAAGTTAGAACAATTCCAGTGCATTGCTATGCAGCAACTATTGCAATCAAGAAAATCGAAGCAACTGATCTACAAAACCAACACCCTTTAACTACCAAAAGTTTAAAAGCTGTTCATTTTAAAAAATTAAAGCTGCTAGAAATAATTTTTAATGCCAAGCTTCACATTTTCTTGAAAGATCAACTTTTGTACTTAAAATACGGTATTTTTAAGGTAGAACAAAGTCAAACAAACCAAAGTTACATGAAAAAAAGCTTTTAAAAATAGCTAACAAAGAAAAAGGCATCCAGACTACTTTTTAAAAAGGTAGAACAAAGCCAGTCTCACAAGACAAACACTCAACGCTATTACTTCAAGACTGACATCTAACATTGCAAGTAGCTCAGTGGAGGCTCCTCAGAGTAACCAGAGTATTTCTCCTGAACTGTTTAGCATCAAATAGGATACCATTTACCTGATGCCGAAAAACAATTACCACCAAGGGGCATCTTTGAACACAAGTGTTTATTTCCCATTTTAGGTCAGCCTCCGCTGAAGTAGCTTGTGGATAATGTTTCTTCTTCTATATTGCATGTAATTTACTAGCTAACACACATGCAAAAGTTATTAAAGTCAGATTATTTTCTTACCATGTCCACTCCAACAACGTATCCTAAACTTTCGTTTCCTGGTAAGACATCACAGAATATAACTGTCCCATACTCTATACTCTCTCCTATCTTCAGAGAAACCCTGGAGTTGATCTCCAGAGGAGGAAGTTCTACCTGCATTGCGTCAACTGGAGCTGCATAGTCACTTTCCAGTTCATTGTCATCATCTTCCACCAGCTCCAGTTTGTCCAAAGCAACAAAAACCCCACAATCCTCATCACATCTGAAAAGCTGCTTGCCTTGGTACTGTCCATCAGTAAAGCCCTGACCGCGACCTTCTTCCTAAGTGTCGGAGGAGGAAGAGGAGGGAAAAAAAGAAAAGGGAAAAAAAAAAAGCAGTGTGTTTTATGCAAAAGCAGGCTACTACAAAAGCAGTAACATAATCCAGTGTTTTGGAGGAATTGTGGTAAGAATTTGCCTGATGAACAATCACTATACTGGGAAAACTCCATTGCTAGAATTTGTGGCAAATGTACACGCTGTCTCTCTTAGGGGAATAAACAGTAACATATTATGAGATTAGAGGGGAACTGCAGGCAGAGGCCTTTTTATTCAGAGAACCATGTTTTCCTTCAGGTCCAAATCCTGCTTTCATCAAATTTTCAGCAGATTAAGACAAGACTACTTTGTAGCAGATATAATGCTAAGCATTGAAAAATTCCACTTAGATGCCAAATGAAGAGAGCTGATTTTCAGAAGCACTTGACCCTGATATTCCCTGAGGTTCTTAGTGGTAATTGCAAAGAATTTGGGAAAAGTTTGAAAAGGACGTTGAAAAATATACTTCTAATACAAGAGTGGCACTCTTCTGAATCTAATCCTTCAAAAGCTTATGGTTGACATTCATTTTGCACAAATATCTCACTAGGAACACACAATGGCAACATTCTCTGTCTTAACAAGTTGCCATTTGATTTTTAGGCTCTACAAAAGCAGCATCCCTAAAATCCCTCCCATGGATTATACCTTGCCACATGCAGGGAAAAACAAAGTACTTGACAGAAATCTGAGAGTCAGATATTTGCCACAATGAGGATGTAAGTAATTGAATTTTTCTAGGCCGGAAGAGTCAGAGTATCTTCAAGTCTTTTTGCCAGCCCATGCACCTCATCAAACTTTACTTCACATGTAGAATACAGGTATTTAATAACAATACTTATGAACATAAGACTGAAGGTTATAGAATTTTAGGGGCAATGAGGCTTCTAGAAAAAAAAAAAAGTATTATGACTGCCTCTTCAAATACAAGATTTTTTGCTCACCTTACAAAATATATATGATGCTCCCCCTTAGCAAGAAACTTACCAGCAACTCTACTCCAAAGTATATCCCCGTTAGGGACCTTTCTTGCAATAAGGGTCCTCTGAAGCGAACAACTCCAGGAAATTTATCATCTCCTGATCTCAGCTGTACCCTAACAGGCGAGCCAATATCTATTTGGATGCCTTTAGTTAACCTGCTTTTGCTTTTAAATAGACTGTATCTTTCCTCACAGTTAGTAATGGCCAACAGCAACTCCGCTAGTTTTTCATTTATTTCTATAACATCCTTCTCATCCACAAACAGGATGGCATGAGGTTGTTCCAGAATCTTTAATCCAATCTGCAGTTTCTTGCCTTTACAAGGAATATTTCTGGAGTGTCCCACAGAAGAACGGTCTTGAAAAAACTGCCCAATGCTACCTTTGGGCACTTTCAAGAGCTTTTGAGTCTGCTTGTCTATGACGCTGCATTCTTGGAGAAGTAAGTAAAAGATCCGCTCTTCCCAATAGGATGAACTTGCTTTTTCTTGACTCCATAAGCCCGAATTCATTGTGATGAAAACTTTAAAAGCTGCACAGAAGTCTTCCAGAAAAATAAGCTGTTGATTTATGTGCACTGATCTTGACAAATTCTACTGGAGGGTCCAACGTTTGTGAAACAATGCAATGTTCATTTTGCAAAGAACCAAACCCAAAGCAGAAAGCCTAGAATGGAAAAAAAAAAAAAGGAAAGAAAAAGAAAAAAGGCAAAATGAAATGGGGAAACTACAGCTGGTTTTAAATAAAACAACAGAAAATTATTTAAAACTGTGACCAGCCCCACTCCTCCTACAGAGTAAAAATAGTTCAGCAAAATCTGAGACAGGGAACATAATCTCAAAACAGCTGTAGTACTGTTGATCACAGACATACCCATTTCTACTTGTTATTACTGTGTATTTCCTTTCTTTCTCTAGTACCTTGAAGCAAGGGGCTATGGAAAAAGCGTAATGAAATACAGGAAACACACATAAGTGAAAGGAAAAAGAAATCTTAATTTCCTATGAACAGGAATAAATATCCTGCTCAAGCTTGCAAACAATATTTTATGGAAGCTTTCCACTATGAAGATCTTTTCCCATGCTTAGTGACTACTTATTTCTGACAAAGTATACTGCATCTGTCATCCCACATAACATTATGATTTAGTGACGCAGAAAATTGTGTCAATGCAGTAAAGTAATAGAAAATGGAAAATTTAGTAATTTATAACAGTCATTTCTTTAAATAATAGAAATGGACAACTCCAGTAAGCAATAAACAATGTATGAAAAATAAACTGTGCCAGCACCGCAACATGCAATTCTGAAGAAAAACCTGGAGGCTTTTCTTGTCATCATTTTAGAAAGATAATTCACTTCAATGAAGTAGGAAATGTATCACTTTCAGTTATTAAAATACCCTGGAAGAAAACACCTTAGTTGTAAACATCATCCTAAGAATTATAGTTCACAGTCAATAAACTAAACAGAAACAATTTGAAAATACTTCATTGCACGTGCTAACAGATACAAAAGTAAAATACATACACACATATATATGTCTACAGTTTAGATCACACTGGATACATGAATAAAGTTCCACAGTACCTTAACAGGATTTGTTCTTCTGAAGATGACAGAAAAGGGTAGCATACAAGTTAAGAATATATTGTCATGTAAACTTTCTTGTTAGTAATCTGTGATGCCACAGTTTGCATTCAGTTAAAGGAGGATCTCAATGATTATTTATGGATTTAATCAGTAAATAAAAAGCAAATACTCTTTGTCCTTGTGCCTCCTCTTGCTACCCTATTCCTCCAGATCTTTTCTCTGATAGCATTCAAATACCACAAAATCTATCGCGGTTTCTCCTACTCAGTTTGATCACAGCTTCAGAAGTTATCAGAAAGCAATGGAATCCAGTAGTACTGTAATTATTTTAATCATCTAGTTTTAAACAAAAAGAGTATTTATCAAAACTCTCTCCCCCAAAGAGAAGCAATTACAACCACAGAGGACCTGAAATTTATGCAAAGTCACTAGGAATCACACATTCTGTGCTGACCTGCTGAGCCTCCCAGTGAGGCTCTCCTACCATACAGCCATTCAAACCAATATAGCACACTTCTCATCCTCACAGATGTTACACGTGGGTGTCAATGTCATTATCACACTTTGACACCGCTGCTGCAGCAGCTTACAGGAATTATGTGGTTTAAAGTGTTTCCATCTGTAACATAATTAACATCTGAGGGACAGAATCTGGACAGTTTCAGACCTCACGGAGATAAAGTCTGGTAGACTGTCAATATGTTTTCAAGTTAAAAAATATTTTTCTTCATTTTTATTTGGTACACATAAATGGGCTTTAATGTTTGTTGATGGTTAACAAAAAAAGTCCAATATCAGTATCAGATTGAAATAATAATGTTTTATATGGGAACTACTGAAGAACGTGACAGGATCTTCCCCCAAAGAAAACATGATTAGCTGACTATTAGTTTTTATAAGTCTACTCAGACATTAAAATAGAGTTCCATCCAAGTTCTGTCTAGTTCCCTCCCCTTACTTTTTCCAGACACTGGGAAAAAAACCAGATACTGCCTTGCTCTTCATAGTTCCATTTTACATTCTCAGCTTTCAAAGGCTGATGCACTTACTTAACTTTCCTTTTTGCGAGCCATTCCACAAAAGTTAATCAACCCCCATACACTGCAAACAAGAATCTCTGACATTACAGGGATCATAACCTTTCCTATTTCACTTTTAAAAATAATTCATTTTAGTTTTAATAAGTATGTATAGAAACAATATATTAACAAGATACAATAACAATATATCAACAATTAACAAGTCTGTTCAAGAGCTTAAAAAGGTAATTTTTATTTTTTATTAAAAATATTATTTATCATATCTTTTTTAATAAGTATACCCTGGCTTGCGGGTCCACTGCTGCAGTATTACATAATCTTCACATGTTTAGTAGTAAAAAATTTGGTGTGAAAACACGTTAACAGCTGCATTTAGATTATATAATGATAACTTTACATGGTGCATGGTCAGGCTTTCAAAGTTCTCGTCAGAGAACTTAATTCAGAGATTATGCCACTGAATACAGTACCAAAAGATTTTCCATTATAAAAAAGTTCATTACCGCTATGTAAAATGCCTTCCTTTAAAAACCTATCTACCACCATTGTCCACTGCCCAAGAAAATATACAGCTCTAAAAAACAAATCCCCTTCTTTTAAAATAATCATGATAAGTTAGTATTTTAACAGCACAGACAAGCTTGCTAAAAAACATGTTAAGTTCTGACAATATATCAGAAATATATGTACGTAAACCACTGATTTTAGCACTGGCACAGGCTGCCCAGGGAGGTTGTGGAGTCTCCTTCTCTGGAGATCTTCAAAACCCGCCTGGATGCAGTCCTGAGTAACGTGCTCTAGGCAATCCTGCTTTAGCATGGGAGTTGGACTAGATGATCTCTAGAGGTCCCTTCCAACTCTGAAATTCTGTGATTCTGTGATTTTAAGATTGTTTTTTTAGAGCCATTTTCCATGGAATTGATCATTCTGTGAGTAACATATACTTACTGAACAAACGGCACAAATGTATCGAACTAAGGCCAGAATAAAATTCAGTATGAATTAACTTAGGAACCAAATCAATCATGCCTAGCAACAATTCATCATTACACTGCATAACACACCAGCAACTATAAAACGCTGTGCATATCAGAGAGTACTTGACCATCACCATGGATGTTTAGTGTCAGAGCCTGTTCAATTGCATTCTTCTACTCCACCTACTACCTAAATTATTTTCATGCTCAAAGAATTTTGGGAAGTGACAGGCAAAACACAGTTATGACTGCAACACTACATGATTAAAAAAAAAAAAAAAGATTAAAAAATGTCAGAGGTGGGCCATAGTAAGATACCTAACTTCAAAGCTTCCCTAACTTCCTTTTCCCCCTGTTGTCACCACAGAGATATCTCATCACAAAAACAGTTGGCTCTGAAATAGGAGAACTTTGTTTCTACCCTGCAGTAGCCTTAGACGACCTATACGGAGATGTTTGAATCAGCTATCAGGTTTCAGCATGAACACACAAGTCTGTACCTCTGATTCAGAGTATAAAATGAAGAGGGTAAAATAAATTGTACAGTTTCTTACACAACTGTGAAAGAATACCAAGTTTTAAACAGCTGAAATACAAAGTTATGTTCTTCAACAGTCCAAAAATAATTTTCAAGGGAAGGTTAAAACTAGGAGCAAGGAAATTTAGTTGCAGCTCAATGTACACAGAATTACATCACTGCAATACAAGCCACGAGTGGAAAAAATAGAAATTATTTTTTCAAAACAGCGACTGAAATATCATCCAATACAAGTTAAGTTCATACCGGTAATACGATTTCTAAAACAAAATGCAGCTGACAAACTCCGCTAAATTTTGTTAGGTGCTATAAATTTGATACAAATACTCTACTGTCATTATCCGCTACCAGCACACTGTGACATGACAAGATTTGGCAAGTATACACCAATGCACCACGACCACTGTCCCGCAGACACCCCTCCTGTCAACGTGATCTGCACATCCTGCCGATAAAATGAAACGCACAGGTTCACTGTTTAACGGCAAGAGTGATGTACCTGTTTATCACCTGGCAAGGTGAGACGTGACACATGACGTACTCGCAAGTCACAAGCTAGATACAAGGCTAAGGTTTTGAGAATAATTATTCCTTCCACCACCCCCACCCCAAGTTTTGAGGATTTTCTGTGCCTCTCAGGGCGGTTATGAGCAGAACCGGAGAGGAAAGCCCCGAAACACTTTTTTAAGTCGCAGCAACGGGCTGCCCGGTGCTTAACACTAACTACCTGAGACGCACCGCAGGGCCTGAGCTCGGCGCCCCGGCACAGCCCTGCCGTGCTCCACCGCCACCCCCGGCCCGGCCCGGCCC